TAACTATATAAAACAGTTATCTTAATAAATAAAAATACCTTTACCAAAAATGTGTGGTTTGTAGTATAATGTATAGGCGATGGCACAGTTTTAAATTCTATTTTGCAATTCTATTATTTTAGGGAACAGGCAATAAGTTCTATGTATGTATACATAAAATTATTCAAATCATATTACTATGATTATAATGTGCATTCTCATTTTGTATGCAGCTTGGAAATGTTAAGCAAGATATTGATTTAAAAAGGAAAAGTGCACAATAAACGTTATGGAATCTGGTAAGAGTCATTATTGTTTATGGTAATAGTGGCCCATTTCCACATGTCCTCCTTTGTTGGAAGGCAGATATTGTATCTTTGATAGTGCCGTGGAGTGGCCATTTATCATTTGTGTTTGAGGCACTTTCATTTATCACTATATATTGACTTTTTCTATCGATATGCTGCAGCTGGGAATGTTTCCTTCCTGTATTCTTCTGCCAAGTAAGAAATGGAGTTAGAAGCAAAGGAAATAAGACATCCAAGTGAGTAAATGGATGACTTTACTTACTGCTCTCTTCTCATTAAGCCTTTGGACTTATGCATCTAGATGTTACTACTAAACAAATGAATATAAAATTTTACTAAACAAGAAATAGCAAGGGAATTATTATCTTTATAGTAAAATTACAAAAGTATATATACTATATTGAGGCTTCTGTAATACAGTTCTTTTCACAGCAATGGCACAAATCAAAGGTAAGTGCCCAGAGACAGCTGCTTCTATCCTTTAAACTTCTGATGATCTTTTATTTCTGAAGATATTTTATTCTATCTTCTAAACTAATACTTGCTTTTCAAAATAACTAAATTGAAAAATTATTAATCATACACAAAACTTGTTTGATCATTCATTTTAGAATGATCAATAAGAAGACTTATGAAATTGTAATGTTGCCGGCATTATTCCTATTTTACAGAAAGAAAAGAAGATAAAACTAACAAGAAAATTAAAGTAAATCTTTTATTTAAAACTCTGTGACTATCTTAATCTGTCAACTTTGCATTATAATTCATAAAACTGATGTCATGATTGCACTTGTCCAAATGGCTAAAAGACTGAGTTTTTTAAAGGAACAAAATCTTCTAGTGGCATTCTATAAACACTACCAAATATACACTATTATTTTATAATTAAAATCATGTAATATACATATATCTCACCTTTGTAGGTTACAGACCACTTGAAGTTAGAACTGCTGTATTTTCTTTTTCTCAAGAGACCTTTTATAATGTAGTGGACCTTTCAAATGGACCGAGAATACATCTGTGGACCCAACCAATGGGATCTCAAAAGTATTTTAAAACAACATTGTTTGCATTATTTTTGTTACTATTTCCTCAATAATAGAGCATAGTGACTGTTTACATATCACTTTCATTTTAGTAAGTATTATGAATAATCTGGAGATGATTTAAGGAATATAGGAAAACAGGTTTAGGTTCTATGAAAATAAGAGCACTAGTCCATTTTATAGAAGGAACTTGAGCAGTTGCGGCCCGCTCAATAGCTTATTCTTCCCTGCGCCGCTACACACCGCTCTTAGTCTGTCAGGTGCAGATTCTGTCCCAGTGCCCTCTTCATTCAGCTCTCTGCTATGCCCAGAAGTGCAGTGAGATGCCAAGTGCTTGGGCCCTGCACCCGCATGGGAGACCAGGAGAAGCACCTGGCTCCTGGCTTCTGATCAGCACAGTGTGCAGGCCTCAGTGCGCCGGCCACAGTGAACATTTGGGGGTGAACCAACGGAAAAGGAAGACCTTTCTCTCTGTCTCTCTCTCTCTCACTGTCCATTCTGCCTGTCAAAAAAAAAAAAAAAAAAAAAAAAAAAAAAAAAAACTTGAGCATCCTTGGACTTTGGAATCTGCAGTGATACAGAACCAGTCCCCATGTGCCTGTGAAATGAGGACTTTATTTTTCATGCAGCAAATTCCCAATAAGTGTTATTAATAACTCTAATAAATTCAAGTTCTTCAAATTATTAGGTAATTCTCCACCAGACTGCTTTGCATAAAATTCAAGTATTACAAATAATGATAAATATATTTCAATTGTGTAACATAATATATGTTTAGCAAATAGAGGAACAGTCATTAATTGCATAATTGAAATCTAATGCAATTAACTTAAATTGATAGTCAATTGAGTCAAAATTGGTACCATGAGCTTTAATATTCAAAGATTATTTCTTCAGTGGTCCATTTCATTTAAAAAATTTAGTTCTTATACCTTAATCTGTTACTATCTTTTTTATTCACTTTTTTTAGAAATCTAATCAAACTTTGATAGATCACAACAGAGTCAGTATTGATTCATATTTCATGTTTTTTCTGTAGTTTGTGTATTTTTGAGTCACTTAATGACATGTGTTTAAATATCAACACCATGAAGAAAATCTTGCATGTTCTATACAGTTGTTTCTAAAATGACATTTCTCATCACTATTGATTAAAATGCTTGGGGATTCTATGAAAATAACTACTTATTTATTTCTAAATATTTATTTATTTCAAAGACAATGTGACAGAGAAGAAGTGGTAGATGGGGAGAGAGACAGATAGAGGGGGAAGAGGGATACATACACACACACAGAGAGGGAGAGAGAGAGAGAGAGAGAGAGATCATCCACCTACTGGTTCACTCCGCCAATGGCCACAATGGCCAAGGCTGGGCCAAGCCTAAGCCAGGAGCCTAAAATTCCATTCTTGTCTCCCATGTGGGTGGTCCAGGGCCCAATCACTTAGGCCATTATCTATTACTCTTCTTGGCACATTATTAGGGAGTTGGATTGGAAGCAGAGCAGCCATAACTCCAACCAGCACTCCAATATGGAATGCCAGGATGCACAAGCTTAACATTCTGTGCCACAATACAGATCCAAATATTTTAATTTAGCCCCTTTTTTGTGGTTCAGGGCCACATTAAAACAAATCACAAACTTTAAAAATTTGAGTATGCATCTACAATATGCGATGGTTCACACAGTGCTTGCCTTTCAAAAACATAAATAATATATTGCTTTTTAATAGATTCAGATAAGAGGTTAAATGAACTAAAAGTTAATACATGCTAAAATTAAGAATTTAGCAATTTTATATTTCAATTTTTCTTAGAGCAACATATAAATACAGTATTTATAAATTAGCATAAATGCTGAATTAGAAATCCATACATTTAATATTCCATACAAACCCATACCTCCATGCTTATTCTTTTAAATCCATACACCTCTCCATACATATGAAGAATAGTCATTCAACAACTGAGAAAGCTAAATTAACAAACTATCTTTGGAATCCCAGTGAAATTTTAACATGTTAAAATACTTTTCAATTCTAATTACATGTAATGTAAATACTGACTTAAGAGAAAATAATTTTCTTACATTAATGCTAGACTAGCTATTCCAGTTTCCTTTTGGGCTAACATAGAAAGATGGTTAAACAATAAATTTCTATGGCAACAACTTAAATTCTAAGATATTCTTAGTCACAGCAGTAGACACAGAAGCTACTACTTTCTTTAGAGCAATGTCATTAAACAAGATATCTTGCTCTTCCCTGCTTTTCCAATGGCACAACTCTCTTTTTCTTTGATGAACTGAAGAATGAGTCAACTGCAAACAAGCTATCTCAACTAATGCATATGCCAACTACAGTTACATGAGTATTTTATGTAAAGAAAGTTAAAACATGTAAGCACGTCTAAATAACATAACACGGTGAGACCGTAAGTATTTTGTATTCTACAAACTAGGCATATATACATACAGATATTTTATGTATGTATAAAATAACAAATATACACTAAATATATATTATGTAGATATAATCACGATACAGATATAGTATCATTGCTGTTCTAAATAATAAATATTGTTATATATGCTATCATTAGATATATTTTCTACATGGATTTTAGAAATTTATTATTATTTTCAAAAAATCCTGTAGTCCTAATCATTTTAGAATCAACATATGGATAGTTTACATTTAATAATTTGAATGTTATGTTTTACAAACTCATATAGTACTTTTTTTCTCATACATTATGTACCTTTATAAACTCTTGGAGAAAGCACTAAAGTTATCTTCACTGAATTGAAGGTGAATTTCTTTTGTTGCAAGATACTGGACATATAAAGGGCTACCAGTACATACCTGACTAAGAAAATACATCCTAGATCCAGCTGTGTTATGTACACTGGTATTTTTATGGATGCCTCCCTTAAGCTTTTAATTAGTTAAAAACATATGATTATTCATAGAATGAGTTCTTGGAGGATAAAAAAATTGGGTTAGCTTCCTCTCCGCTATTCACCATGTATGATGTGAGTTATTGTGTACCCTCCTCAGCTTCAATTTTCTGATTCATATAATGGAAATACCAAATATGTTACTAAGTTGCCATGTGGCTATGAACTAAACAATTATATAAAACACTTAGCATATACTGGCACACATTGATCACTCAAAAACTATTAAGGATACCATTTTTACAATAATATTTTATGCTTAACAAGGCCTCTATTGTAATTGCTTTTTAATTAGAATGAAGAAAAATTTTTGCTTTTGTGCACATCCCCTATGACAAAGACTGTTTTCCTGACCTATACCAGCTTTAACAATTACTCTGTGTCTTACTAAATATCTTTCACCAAATGTCACCTTCCACCAGAGACATTGTCTCTCCATGTACTATTTTCATTTTCCTTCTTAAGGTCACAACACTGTTGGATATATGGCTTCTCTTACCTAAATTTTCTGTTACAAATGAATCTACTGTTTGCTTGCTGAAAATCTGGTTGTACTTTTCATGAAAATAATTCAAGCCTTCATGTGTAATAAATTAATCAATAACCTAGAATAGTTATCAGAGAATAGGGTACAATATTACATCATGAAATACAGTCCCCAAATGAAATAATCAAGCAAGAAAATCATGAATGGCCTTTGAAATAAATGTGGTATATAATAAAGATTTTATTTTAAAAGTGTTAAGTAATACATCCTCCAGAACATCACTGTTCTTGGGAATCACTTCCCTTTAGAATACGAGTTCTAGATGGCCAATCTACTGAGTTTTCTAAGGTTTTCATTAGTTGTTTTAACATCATACATATGTATGTCTGTAGTCTATAGTTTCTCAACCTACTTCTGAAAGATGTGTATGTGGTAGAATATAGACCCCATTACATTTTTGTTTGCTTTTTGCAACCTAACTACAATCAAAGAGTCTTGGTTCAAAACCCCAGAGGAATATGACTCAGGTCAGAGTTAACACTGGTTCATAAAATTCAAACAGTTCATTGCTTTTTTTGTTAACGACTGAGCCCCAACCAGAAATCCGGATGGTGGGAGAGAAATACTTGTTTAGGATAATGATTGATTTCCATAAAGAAGGGTGTTTTAATAAATTTCCATGTGCAGTTGCTGGGGCGGGGAGGGTGGGTGGGCACTAATTAGTTCTACCATTTTTCAGCAGATGTTGAATTGGAAATGCCAGCAGCATCTCAAATACCAGTCATTAGGGTTGTCTTTCATTGAAGAGTGCTGACCAATGAAATCTCCACTCTGTTTAATGAGACTGATCTAGGCAGAGTCAATTAAATCAAATCTCTCTTAACATGCTTAATATATCTGCAGTGAGGGCCGCACCAACAAAAGCAGCGGCAGGGGATTTCCAGTATTAATAAAGGGATTCACTGCCGCATTAGAAGGGGTTGGGGAGCGGGGAGTGTGTTGGTGGAAGACCCTACTTTAAGGACAGCGGATAAAGTCAGAGCCGGGTGGGGGAGTGGAAAAAGAGGAGCTACAAGGGTAAAAAGCTAAGTAAGGCGATTAGAGAAAGAGCCTTAATGCAGCTCAAGTAGCAATCCACCCTCTGCGTTCCCCTCCCCCTCCCCCAAATCCCTTCCACCGCAAATCCAGTTTACCAGTTGCAAATATGAAGCTGGAAAAATGTAAGGACCCAGATTTGAAAACATTTTCACTTTAATACTGAAAAAATATGCCATTATAAAATCCTCAAATAGAATTAGTAAGTTTCACGTGCTTCCTCAGTTCTTTTTTCCTACTTTATAAGTAAGATTTATACCAGCACAGAATTGCTACCATAGAATCGCAGCCTAAGCACTAGAGTGACATTAATTGGTCATGCTTAACTGCCTCAAAATCTGTTTTTAAATAATTACACTGATACTATAATATAAATCATGGGTACTTATTTTACATTCAGATGGAAGGCATTATTGGATATGTATAGAAAAATATTCCCCCTCAAAAAATAAAATAAAATAAAATAAAACATCACCATCAAAGTAAAAGAACCCAAAACAACCCCTAAAAATTTCCTTCAACAAAATACATTGTGAACTCATAAAATGGACTGTTGACTAGCCATGCAAATGTCTTAAATAAAACCTTTACATTTTTTTTTTCACAGTAAACATACGATCTGAACTTCCTACCGATCACAAATAATGGCGAAATGGCACTTTCTGATTATACTGCATCTTGTTTATAGAAAGTTTGATACGATGGGACTTATCAGGTAAGGTAGGGGCTGTGAATGAGACGCCATCTCCAGTCGCAGGGGCGTGAAGAGTCCCTGGAGTGCGTGGGTTCCATGCGAGCCATGCAGCACTTTTTTTTGTTGTTTCTTGGTCAGAAGTCAATGTTATTTATTTACAATACATTCATGCCTTCGTGCAACTGCCCATCCCTGCGTAGCCAACAGGGAACCATCACGGGGCTAATCCACAGGGGAAAAATAGATCTCTATTTCTCTATATAGATGTGGATATATATATATATATGTGTGTGTGTGTGTGTGTGTGTGTGTGTAGAACTGCGGTAGCCACCCCCCTCCCACGGCCTCTGAGCCCAGGGGGAGGCCACCGTCAAGTCCTCCAGCAGGGCCCACGCTGGGCTTTCTGTCAACGTGGGCTCCGAGCAAAGAGCGAGGGAGCTGTGTTCTCCCAGCTCGCAACAGTCTGCTCTTTGTTTGCAGAAGGGAGCTGGGGGAGGGGTCAGACCCTCTCGGTTGGGCGAGTTCCTGGTTATTTATTGACTTTTGTCCGTGGGGCTTGGGGCGCTCTGGAATTGGGTCAACGCCCCTCCGACCTCTGGGAGGCGTGCGGCGGGGGGTGGGGAGGAGGCTGTGCCTGTTTCGGTGTCCCACTGCCCTCCCCTTTTTCCGGCCGGGACTCAGTCTGAGAGCGAGTGCGAGCCACAGTCGTACACTCTGTGGGCCCCATCGGCGTTGTAAGGCCCATTGTGCCAGTAGGAAGAGTCACAGACTGTCTGTAGGGAGTTGATTTCGGACGCCGAGGAGTTGGCATCCCTTCGCTTGGACCGCTTTCGGTTCCTCAGGATAAACACGAGCATGCCTACCACGGTGAAGGCGGAGGTGACGAAAACCAGCAGGAGTCCCGGGACCAACACGGAGATGGACACCCTGCTGGTGTCTAGGTAGGAGTTGGAGTGCGTCCCGGTCTCCGCCAACCCGGTGCTGTTTTTACTGTGCGAAGTTAGCGTGGGCGAGATCCTCGCGTACAGCTGCGGGCAGATCTCATCGTTGGAGAGGAGCATGAAATCCTTCCTGAAGAAGTTCACCGGCGTCTCACACTTGAGGTCGCTCATCAGCACTTCGGAGCCCAGGCGTTCTGCCCATTGCTTGAAAGGCACAATGGTGCAGGAGCACTCCCAGGGGTTTCCGTGGAGGTCTATCTGGATGATGGAGGTTAACTGGTCCAGCACCCCTGCCACCGGAAGGTACATGAAGTAATTGTTGTGCAGGCTGAGCTTAGACAGCGAGACCCCAGCGAACACGTCCACGGGTAGGGACCTCAGCAAGTTGTTGTTGAGAATGAGAATCCTCAGTTTGGGCATGGCGTTGAAAGTGCCAGGGAGAATGAGCTGGATCGCGTTGTACTCCACGTTCAGGTACTCCAGGTTCTGCAGTCCAGCGAATTTCTCCCGGGACAGCGTGTCCAGGTAGTTGCTGTCCATGTACAGCCACCTGAGGTCCAAGAGATTCTTGAAAGTGTTGTTCTCTACAGTGGCGATGTTATTGTTGCCCAGGTCCAACAAGATGAGGTTCTTGTAATCCACAAAGTGAGATTTTCGGATGCTGTGGATCTTATTGTCTCGCAGAAAAAGCTCCTGCACGTTGGAGAGCTTGGGCTTCAAATCAGCCAAGCTGCTCACGTTCCGATTGTTGCAGTTCATCTTCAAACCCGACCCTGGGATGTGGTCGCAGCTGCAGCCCCCGGGGCAGGGCAGGCGGTTGGCTGGGGCTTTGCTTTTGGCGCCCCCCGCCGCTGTCACTACCGTAGGTCGAATTTTAATCTGCCAGTTGCCTGGGATCTTTGTGCCTCCGTTCGGAGCAGACCCTGGGGTGGCATGATCCTCTTGCCCATTTGTCTTGAAGGGAGTTGGCAAGGGGCCAGGGGCGAAGGTCTCCTCTTGGGCAGGGGGCGCCGGGAGACTAGAATCCACTCGGTTTTTCAAAGGACACAAGTCCTGTTCGGTGGTTTCATTGAGGTCTTTCCCCTGCAGTCTGGTGGGGGCTTCGCAGACCACTCGGCCGATCAGGGCATTTTTGGGAATGTTCTCCAGCCATTCCTTCAGAGAGAGCAGATCGCAGGTGCAGTCCCAAGGGTTATCCTCGAGTAGGATCTCGGCAATGCCCGGGATTTGCTCCAAGACCTCCTCGTAGGGCAGCGTTTTCAGCCTGTTTCCGCGGAGGTCGAGGTGGGTGATGGGCACATACTGGAACACGTTGGCAGGTAGGGTGCTGATGAGATTGTCGTTTAAAATGAGTACCTCCAGCTTGTTCAAGTCCTGGAAGGCCCCCGGGTCTATATCCCGTAATAAATTAAAATCAGCCTGGAGGTATTCCAGATCGTCCAGCCCCAGAAAAGTCTGCTTTCGAAAAGACTTGATCTTGTTGTTGTTGATGTGCAGCCTTTTCACCAGCTGCAGACCCAGGAAAGCCCCTGGCACGATTTCGTGCAAGCCATTGTTTTCCATGTGCAAACTCACCGCATTATAAAAGTTAGCGAACTCATTGGGGAAAAGTCGAGTGAGGGAATTGCCATGCAGAAATAAATGGTAAAACTGAGAAGTCGGCGCGGTGAAACGCTGCAGACTTGTAAAGCCCTTTTTCTCACAGTCTACGTGTAGGTCCCCTTCTATCTCATTGCAGGAACAGATCTTCTCTTTGCAAACGTCCCCTGTAACGTTTCCAGCGGCAAAACAAAGAGACGTCTCCAGCAACAGAATCCAAAGCAGCATTTTTAAAGCGAGCAATTCATCCCCGATCTCATCACAAAGTAACAGCAACCATCCTGCTCGCCACAGACACAATTCAAGTTCATTTAGTGCTCCAATGTCCGAACCCAGGGAAGGAGAAGCAAAGGGTTTGGGGGGGTGGGGGTGGATTTCTTCCTCCCTAACCCCCCCGCACTGCAATAGCCCAGACGCCAGTCAATAATTATATTCACAAACTATCCAGGCACGTAGTGCAAGGCAAGCAAAAAGAAAGGAGAAAAAAAGGGAAAAAGAAAAAAAAAGTAATAACCCCCACTCCCCCTCAATCCCCTTGAAATAACCAAACTAAGTTAAATACGTACATACAAATTAAAAATACACCCTTTCAGACTCTTGTCTGGTAGTCCTCGCTAACCAGGAAAGAAACAATGCTAGTAATCAGAAGCAAGTGCATGTTAGAGAAACAAGCAGAGGGTTTGCAGCGTAGTACAGGCGCACTGCCTGTGCATGGCTGTGCTTCGGACTGACCTTGCCTCTCTGATACAAAGCAGGGTTTTCGGCGGCTTCTGATGTGGAGGCTGCTGGTGGAGTTCTGGCTGCGGATGCGGGCTGTCCAGAAGTCCCCCCGAGGTGCTGTCCAGTCCCCCCGGTGCTGAAATCACGCCCGACCGGAGGACTCACGCTGCCCAGCCAATGGCGCTCGAAAATTTCCGCAATCGCTGCATGTTGTGGCTGTCCATCCTTCTCCTTCCTCCCCTTCGGTCCTCTTGAGTCTTTTTTTTTTCTATGCTCTCACTCTCGCTCACTAGCTCTTCTTTTCTGGTTCTCCTTCTCTTTCTTCTGCTCTTTCAGATTTACGCGGAGGGGGGAGGAGGCAAGGGGGCGAGTTGTCTGAGCGAGGCAGAGAGCGCGAGAATGGGGAGGGGGCAGAGAAGAGAGTTGCTAAGAAGCTCTGCGTTCCAGCCTGGTGCACTCAGAAAGATCTGACACCCTCTGCTGATCTGCAGTAGCAAAAATCCATCTGGTGAGGGAATGCTGAAGGAAAAAAAAATCAATCCACGTACAGGGCAAGCGTTAAAAACGTGGGCAATAAAGGCTGTCGATCTACATAGACTCCTGTTTTAAATGGATTATTTAATATTTGGTGCGTGTTGGAAACTTTACCCTTTCCCTAACGACCTCACAGCCCCCACTCGCTCCTGCTTTTGGAAAGCAGCGCTTTTAAAACATTTATTTCCCAGTGGCTTGAATAAAATTAGTGTCAGGGTGTCAAGCGAACAGCAATTTGAGGTAATTATACAGCACGCCATTTTCGTCGGTGCTTTAAATGCATTTCTTCCTTCTCTGCGGTACAGTGTTTTATGCTATTTGATGTTTGATTTTTTTTTTTTTTTTGGCATGTGGAAAGTGGTGACTCGGAACATATATATTACATAATATAATTGGGCATGAATTATCCGTGGAAAAGTATATAATTTAGGCATATACTTTTTTTTACACTTGTTACAGAATTTTAGTCAATTCGGTCGTGTTTCTTGAACGTTATTTAAGTCTGCAGGATGAAAACACAATGCATGCTTACGTCTTTGATTCCAGACCCAAGAGCTTTCTCTGAGAACCGGAAAAGGAGGGAGGGGGCAGGGGGGAAAAATCCCAGTAGTGAGCGCTCTTAAAAACCCACTAGCATGCAGGCGCGCGCGCGCACACACACACACACACACACACACACTACACACACCTCACACACACCCCACAAAGTTTCCACGTAAGCTAGGACCAATTTTAAATAAGGGTAAGTAAATAACCAGTTGCATTTTGAGAGGAGATAGACATCTCGCGTCTCTAAAGAGCCCCGCGAAGGCTGTCTTGCAGGTAGCGGGCGGCTCTTCTCGCAGACGCTCGCTGGGTCATTGATGCGGGGAGGCACCCTGCTCAGGCTTTTCCCTGCCAGGGAATCTCCAGGTTCTTCAAACTTGGGGCCTCCAAGAATCACGATCTACAGGCTTCTGGGAGGGGGAAGACGTCAGAATACTGCTTCACTGCAGGATGTTTTACCTACTTTTCTTATCAGAGTCGACACGTTTTCCAGCATTACCTTCCAAAAATTCAGTGGATCATTTCAGGGTTTGGAATTTTCAAGACTTTTTTTTTTTTTTTTAATAAATTGTTGTCTGGCCCTTTCTTCAGTCGAAGCAGAGATGATATATTTACACCACTTTCTCATTTAATTAGGTATTAGGAAAGTTGGACAGCTGTTACAAACCTGCTAATAATTCGCACAAATGATCAGATATTCAAGGTTACATACATTTTGAGAAGATGAAAAGTGAAAATTTGGGGACAAAATCTGAGGTGGGAGGTAATCCTAAGGGTAGGGAAGGTCTAGACATATTTTTTTTTCAGAATCCACAAGTGAATTCTTGGATGGAGAGAAATTCAAATGTATATTTAATATTTCATTTAATCAAATGTTATGTTGTCGTCCTCCCGTGGCACCATTTGGTGAAGGAGCAGTGGGGAGGAAGGGTCTGCTCAGTATGTGTGTGTGTGTGTGTGTGTGTGAGAGAGAGAGAGAGAGAGAACATTTTCAGACAGCTCATTATACATCAGAAGCAATTCTTTTCATATTTAATTTGACCCATTACCACATGTAGAGAGAGGGCAAAGGGCTTAATCAATTTGATAACATTTCACTAAAGAAATGCTATGCAATTGAGAGCTGCAGACTTGCTGGAGGAGTGAAACTGAATGGAAGGAGTTTCTGTTTCTTTGCAAGTTACACGAATCAGCTCTTAGGCATCCTGGCCCCTGAAGCCCTCTGAGGAAGGAAGGCAGCCTTGTATGGTGTTTGTGACTCATAGTGATAAGCCAGATTCTAAGGGAAACACAGAAAAATGGTGTCTCGTTAGAAAGAAAATATTGATGAAAATCATCGAAAATCATACTTTTACCTTAATTGATTACTTGTTTTATTTTTCAACTTATATAATAATGAATTACTGTGAAGAGACTCAAAGGTTATATTTAAGTTGATTTAAAGAAACCAGTTAGGCAATCAGTGATTGTGGATCAGATGTCATTCTTTTCTCCCTTCCTTTAAACTTTCTTCCCAAACCCAAGTTATCTTTCTTCTCAAAGCACCAAATGCATTAAATTAAAAATTTGGCATTCAATATTTTTCTATTTAGACATATTGTAAAATTTTTCTACATCTACCCTCTTCAAATAGTTTATTATCTCCATATCCTTAGAAAAGAAGTGTGGTCATTAGGTTTAGGGCCCAGATGGACAACTTAAACCCATGAAGAAAATACTAAGGTTATATGACCTGTATGAATATATCCACTAAAAAATATCATGTGAAGTATAAAGATAGTTTGCTGAATATGCAACTTCTGTAATGAGCTACAATAATTCTTAAAATAATTATTTTTATAATAAATGTATTTAAGAAAAAATCTAGAAAGTAAAATCCAAAAGTCTAACTGTGTATCTCAGAAAATTTTGGGTGGGAAAAAAAAAAAGCATGGGGATTTAAATGCAATCTAAACTCTTCTCATGCCTTAGGGGAGTGTTTCAGGCATTAATTCTTCTTAAAGAGTTCTATTCTATGTATTTGAGCGCAAGTGAACTTTTTCAATTGGTTTACATCTCATGAAGGATAACCTCAGGAACTAGAGACAAAGAACAGTTCAGATGATAATGAGAATGGCTAATATTTGCATCAGGGCTACAGTTTATTTCTAGACTATGGCCAGAAGCATTGCAATTACATTATTTTCTTTTTTTGACAGGCAGAGTACAGTGAGAGAGAGAGACAGAGAGAAAGGTCTTCCTTTTGCTGCTGGTTCACCCTCCAATGTCCGCCGCGGGCTGGCGCACCGAGCTGATCTGATGGCAGGAGCCAGGTGCTTCTCCTGGTCTCCCATGGGGTGCAGGGCCCAAGGACTTGGACCATCCTCCACTGCACTCCCTGGCCACAGCAGAGAGCTGGCCTGAAAGAGGGGCAACCGGGACAGAATCTGGTGCCCCAGCTGGGAGTAGAACCCGGTGTGCCGGCGCCACAAGGCGGAGGATTAGCCTAGTGAGCCTCGGCGCCGGCCATTGTGTCTTGGCTTTCCATGCCTGACATGTTCTCATGGGCTTTTCAGCCAGATCTGAATGCCTTAAGGGCCGATTCTGAGGTCAGAGTGCTGTTTAGGGCATTTGTCATTCTATGAGTCTGCTGTGTGGACTGCTTCCCATGCTGGAACATTCCCTCCTTTTTAATTCTATCTATTGTTAATACCAGACACATGGTCTTAGTTATGTGATCCCTTTGACACTTAAGTGTTACAAAAGTGTCATAAATTTTAAAAATACCTTCATCTGTATGGGTATGTGTGTTCATGTATTTTCTGAAATACATAGTTTCTGTACCAGTTTCTTTGTTTGCCATTAGTATGAATTTCAAGAGTAAGTCATCTTTTGCTTCATTTGTTTTCCAATGATATTGGAATAATTCTTTGGAGGGAAATAAGGTTCCATATACATAATCATAGATGATTTAGAGTCTGTCTATGTGCCTGTGATATCCTCTGACTGCTTTAATATTTTTAATTACTCCTCTTCTACATACAGCATACTTGAAATTCTTACCTTAAAAAAATTGCTGATCACTATTGAACAAGATGAGCACAGTGTATTTCAAATATAATAAAAAATTTTGAGTATCATATAAAAATACAATTTTTAATTAAATAACTATGTTATAACTGAAATATCATATTGCAATGCATAAATCTAGAATTTTTATATATGAATGAAAGATAAAATTAAAAATATGTGTTGGAAATTATTGTGCAAAACAAATCCTAGATTTGCATCCTTAAATGCTTTATTAGCATACAACAAAAATGAAAGTAATTTTTATTGAGGAATATGTTTCAGAATCTCAAATATCATCACTTTGATGTTAGAAGTAAGTATAAAGCAACAATTAAAGTGAATTGTGTTTTTATAAGATTTATTGTATTTATTTGAAAGGCAGAGTTACAGAGAGAGAGAAGCAGAGATAGAGAGAGCTTCCATCTGCTGGTTCACTCCCCAAAATGGCTGCAACAACCAAGGTTGAGGTAGGCCAAAGCCAGCAGGTTCATCTGGGTCTCCCATATAGATGCAGGTGCCCAAGGATTTGGATGATCTTCCACTGCTTTTCCCAGGTGCATTAGCAATTAGCTGGATCAGAAGTGGAGCAGCCCAGACACAAACTTGTTCCAGTTTGGGATACCAGCATTGCAGGCAGTGGCTTAACCTATTACACCATAATACTTGCCCCATCAAACTACATTTTTACACTTTAATTCTGCTCAAATTTATTTCAGGAACTATGTTCCTTTAATAAATTATATTTTTATTAGTTTGAAAATATTTTATCAATAATACCCAGATATACTACTGAAATCAGAAATAAATCCATTAATCAAAACATAAAAAACTAATTTTGCTCAGAATTTTCATCTTATGCATCCTTCTTCTAAAGTAAGCTAAAATAGTGATACTAACATATCTGAAATGTTTATAACCATTAATTGCCTTCAGTTGCCTTTAGTAAAAACACCAGTAGAAAATTCTAAAAAATTATAATTTACTGGAGCATTATTATTAGCATTTGTTTTGCAAGTTTACCAATGCAGTCAAGTTCTGCCTTTTTTTAAAAAAAGATTTTATTTATTTATTTGAGAAGTAGAGTTACACACAGAGAGATGGATAGACAGGGAGAAAGGTCTTCCACCTGCTGGTTCACTCCCCAAATGGCCACAATGGCCAAAGCTGTGCAGATCCAAGCCAGGAGCCAGGAGCTTCCTGTGGGTCCCCTATGTGGGTGCAGGGGCCCAAGGACTTGGGCCATTTTCTAATGCTTTCCCAGGCCATAGCAGAGAGTGGGTTTGGAAGAAGAACAGCCAGGACTAGAACTGGTGCCTATATGGAATGCTAGTACCACAGGTGAAAGATTAACATACCGTGTCACAGCAATGGCCCCAAGTTTTGCCTTTTACTGGATTGGTTAATTTTTTTTTTTTAGTGGGAACATTTTAATCACTTTAATTCTAATACATGAACACAAAAT